ATTAAATATTTAATAAACTATAAGTTTTACAGGCACCAAAAGGCATAGCCATCTTTTGGCACAGGGGCTTTACAGATATAAATTACAATGGCAGCTCTAGGACAAAGTATGCAGGAGGAGAAGCGTGCCAAAGTTGAGATGATTTGGATGGGAAACGAATCACAATAGTGAGCATTGCATTGCCAATGCACACTGACGAGGGTCAGAACTGACATTTACCTGCCAAACCTCCAGCGAGCCAGATGGAGACGGGATGCGGGCTGGACGAGGCGTCGGGGGTCAGCAGGTCGCAGAGGACGGCGTAAGGGATGAAGTAGAGGGTGTACCCGGGGACGTCCCTCAGGACCATGGCCCCGGCCCCTCGGTACARTCCTTGGAGACCCTCGGTCTGCAGGATGCTGCTGATGCAGTGGACGGGGCCTCGGTAGAGCTGCTGGCCCGGGAGGTCGATGGAGCGCAGCGGGATGTTGGTGCCGCTGGGACCGTTAGCAGCCAGGTGGAGGTTCTCTGGAAACGTCATCAGAACCAGCATTAAAGCCTTTCACTGTGTTCAGACACAGACAAGAACCAAACAAAATGATTTATAATCAACTCTTTAAAGAAAAATAAGACRGCGGCAGCTTCCTGTTCCTCATGTCTGATTGGCTGCAGCGTTTCCTCATTCCAAGAACAGATATAGTTTTTAATCTTAATAAAAAGAAACGTTGATTTAACAACACAGAACAGGTTGGTTTATTTCAGCTCCATAACTTCTGGCTGCTCTGACACCGAGCCGCTCGTATCGCCCACCAGGTGAAAAAAGATACATTTCATGACCCTTCGGCTTGCGGTAAAACCATGAAGAATCTTTTAAAGGTTTGAGGAAGTCACACGAGGTCAAGGTGTCTGAGGCGTTAAAGACAAAAAAAGAGTCACGAGTCGTTTTATCTTTTCATTTAATCACTTTAACTTGTYTTTTTTTATGTGTTTATTGTTTAACAACTGGAACACCAGACACAGAAATGTGACCCGGTGAGACCCGGTCAACTTCTGACCCACAGTATATTCAGAGCTCTGTGAAATCTATTGATTTATTTTCTCTAAATGTAGTTTTTTAATTTAAAAAGTGTTGAATCAGATAAGAGTTTAATATTTCAACAGTTAAACAGTAAAATATTCAAACTTTCATTAATATTAAAATATTTTTACAAAAATGGAGCAAACCCCCAAGGGGAAAAATAAAAAACCTGAAAGAGGTATGGCAGGCTGTTGTGTCATATAATTGAAAAATATGTCAGGTCATTGTACAACATAATTAACAATACATAGCAGACTGTGATGTCATATATAATTGAAAAATATTGTATGCCGTTGTGTAATTTATGTAGTGTCGTATGGCAGGCCATTGTGTCATATTACTGAAAAATACGTCAGGTAMTAGTAATAATAATTTATTAATATTTCAACAATTAAACAGTAAAATATCCAAACATTCATTTGGATTAAAATATTTTTACAAAGACACAGCAAGAAAACCTAAAAGATGTATGGCAGGCTGCTGTGTCATATAATTGAAAAATACGTCAGGTCATTGTACCACATAATTAACA